ATGCATTGCACAATAGAGGGGGCATGCCAGCTAAATATAATATAGAAAATCACAAAAAAATTTTAGAAGTGGTAGATAGCTCCATTAATTTATTTATTAATGATTTATTCAATTTTAACTGTGCTGTTTGGATTGATTATGACAATAAAACTTACGCCTGCTTTATGAAGTACTAGAAAATGAGCTTAAGAAATTGTTCTAAGAACTGCGTTGCATTATATTAGCAATTACTTTGGTAATGATTAAGTGGGTCATCAGCTAAAGCCCTTCACCGCGATGCTATGATGTTGATACGAGAAAATACAAAATTGTAAAATTGACTGCATAGGCTATGGCCATTTCACAATCTTAAAGCCAGCGAAAATTTCCGATGTTTAATCGTATAGTAAGCTTTTCAATTCAAAATTTTCCCCTATGAGTTTTCAGGCTTTATTCGAAACGAAATAACACGAAAAAGTGCCCGTCTACGTTTGGCAGAGTTGCTGTTTTCGCAGCATACAGTGGAAATCGCGTTGAGAGGTCACGGCAACTATTTGTAGAAAACATCTCTAATAAACTTCCTTTTTAGATTGTATGAAATCGCTCAGCAATCATTGCAATGCTATCTAAAGGGGATGGACTACTCTCTGTTTTTTGTAGATCTTGACAATGACGAACTAGTGCAAAGGGCATGCGGGATGCATGGAATAGTGAATCATCTACTTTGAATTCATCTACATTTAATTGGCTGAAGAGTCCTGTAGTCAAAACAATTACAGGCTTACTTCAAAAAGCATTGCGCAGCAAGATTATACCTTCCACAAACCGATTGGCTGCTTGTTCTCGATGCTGATACAGGTAATTAACTATTACTTCATAATCTCATGTCGCATAGACGGTTTTCTAGAGCGAAGAGCGCAAGCTGAAAATTTGTTGTACCCTTGCTTATTATTTTGTATAAACAAGTGGTAGAAATAAACTTCCTAAAAAAGCTCTTAGAACGGTTTTATCTTCTTAGCTTACAATAATAATCAAAATAACCATAATATATGGTATATAATATTAGTACTATCACTTTTACAAGTATCACGCTGAGAAAAGATAATGATGTAATCCCCTTGCTTTTATAAATTCAAGGAGTAGTCAATCCCAATCATTGCATTGAAGAATGGATAGATGATCGAGTAGATGTAATTCTTTACGAACGTTTTTGGAATTGGGAAATAATGGCCGGAAACTACCTGGTAATCTTTTTTCTTGAGAAGCTTCAGGCGAGTGACGCAGAGAAATTGGATAATTTCCTATTTTAGGTAAGGAATTCCGAATTTGGGGACAAGTTCCTTGACGATTGGGCCAACTTTGATTCGCTATTACCTGCGTCATATAATGGGTATGACCAAGGAGCGCTAATGGTAAGATGAGGCATCCTAATAACATACAAAGACAAGTAGTAACTTTGAAAAATGGCTCTTCTGCTATTTTTTCTGAAACTCCATGTTTTTTTATCTATGGTGTTCTCCTACCTTTTTCTGTTCTCCACTGACTCTACTTTCCCTGCGTAATCATCAATGTCTACTGTTGAGTTGATTTTTTTCAAGGCAAAAAGAATTGTGAGTAGCAGTTTAGTGATATATGCGCTTCTTTAATGGCTTCCGCGATATCGTGCATATATGAAGAGGGATGAGACTGGTTAGTAGGTCTAAAACGGGAGAATATTAGTCAGCATTCTCTCCTTGCACTGTGGCAGCTCTCATAGTTGTTTACCATAACTAGCTATTGCAAAAGCAAAAAAATAGGGACTTACCGATAGTGGACAAAGATTGTCTATGGCTGCCAAGTCGCAGTGAGCTCAAGAAGAATTCATTGAATATTGCTAATTCAGGAAATAGTGAATAGGTATCATTGAATGTGTTTTGTATGTATTGCTAATAAATGATAACAGAAACTGTGCGAAACAGTTGGTTTATAAACATTTTTGAATCTTGATTCTTGAAGCTCTATGGAATAGAAAGAAGAAAAACGGAAAATGTGAGCTTTATTTTCTTCACTGTTTCCTTCCCTCCTCCTTTCTATCCT